GAGTGTTACATCATCAAATGATAATATTCTTATTTCTGAAAATTTTGTAGCTAATTTTTCTAATTTACTTTTTGATATTGGTAATTTATCATGTACAGACACATAGCTCCACCCTCTTTCAGTTCCTATGAAAATGAAATGTGGTATAAAAATCAAACAATACAGAGAACTTGTTTGTGTTAATACTATTAATCGGAATGACTGCATGTTTATATAGTTACAATAAGTACCGGTAGGTGTGTGTTTTGAAATTCATCTAGACAGATCTACTTTGCCTTCTACCAGGAATAAAGTTAGGTCTTCTGAGGTATAATAGCTTATATACTGTCGTCTGTCTGGACTGATTATATGCAGCAATGTATATAAGATATTATATCTGTTGAAGCCAAATAAAATAATAGTTTAAGAACAGTCCTCTCTAATTTAGCACAGTTTTTATCCATAGTCTGCTAATAAGTGTAAAAATTTTCAAATTGTATCAAAATTTGTCAATTAATTATTGATACATATCTACATGTAATTTCTTACTTAAATTCCAGCTCCAAAACATGCCTTTTCCAATGCCTTTCCTTCTAAATATGTATTAAGCAAGTACTGTATGTGTACTAAACGGTATACCTTATGTCCAAGACAAGTAAGTCCTGGTCAGTGTGTGTAGATACTGTGCAAGTATAAACAGGATCATTCTGAGTCAATTCTTCCTGTTTCGATGAGCTGATGGCTATATCATTAATGGTGGTGCCTTCATCACTGGCCAAACAGGTAGAAGGGAGCAAGCATTTCTCCCTGGCATACTCTGATCTGCAAGAAGCCCAGGTAAGGATTACACAGCTGGAAGCTATGTAGTTGTACATCAGAAACTTAACGTTAAATGCAAAAACTAAATAATCAGCAGTTGAAATATGTTACTCTGTCATAATCAAAATTCCAGTTTTTGATTTACAAATGTTTGCTAGCTCAAGCTAGGAAATGACATTAGGACATGAAAAATTCATTGATTCATTTTTGTCTTGGGTTCATGAACTTGTTTTGCTGTGAACTTCTGTTGGGTCAGGTCAAGTGAGTGTTATTGCTATCGTTTGTTTCATTATAGCTAAATACAGGCTTTTTTTACTTCATTGCTGTATAGTAGTGATTATGAAGTTTTAATTTAGTCAAGTCAGTGGTGTATAAAATTTGTGCTTAAAAAGTGTTTTTTGTGCCCCGAATTTAATTGCATTTGCAGGATTTTTTTCTCTACAGTGGCTTAATGGCTTTAGAAGAGTTTGCCATCTACGCACAAGAAAAAAAGTCGTGAATTATTTACTTGCAGTAATGGATAATAGGGCTGCTGGTGTTACAAGATAGCACGTTGCTGGATGCACAGATAACGTAACCATAAATCGCGTTTCGGCCAGCATACATAGTTTGTCTCTTTTTCCATCATTTTCATTGGATTTCAGTGTGTCATAAGAGAAGCAATAAAGGATCCAGTCAGCTCGTCAGTGTCAGTAAAGAATGATGTACAATGAATTCAAGTGTGCACGGAGGTAATTTCTAATATAACAGTCAAGATCACCTGAATTGACGAGTGTCCTTGTTGAAAGCTGAGAGGATGATAGATATATGCATCGGTAAAGGTTCATTGTCAATGATGATGAAAGAGAATAGGAAATCCACCAACATAGCGAAAACCTTAATAACAATGACCCATTCCTTTCAGGGTTCTCAAAGCCTTGGTAATTTTGTTGCAAAAAATAATTTGTATTCCAATTGCTGCATATATTTGCAAATTCGATAGATCAACTGACCATGTTGGACTGATTTCATACCGCTTGCAGATAAGGATCTTACATTTTGTATAAAATGGCATTCCGCGCCAGCTTTTGTGTACATATATGATAATTGTTTATTTATTTCTTGTAGATCACATAAGGTTACGTGGCGGAGCATATAATAATTGCTCCTGTTTTTAATTTTTGTTGAATTGTAAATGTTATTTAGATAGGAAAAATCTTAATAGCTTTGGTAGTGTAATAAAGAAGGAGTCACTTGAATGGCAAATTTATTCTGTTAGAAAATGGTGATTTTAATCCGACAAATATAGTTCTATAAAAACTTTAAGGATGGAAAAGAAATAAAGCGTGCACAAAATATAAAGAATACAAAGATGAAGAAAACCTATTGGCTAGAGCGAATAATAGGAACAAAAGACGAAATCCCTTGCATTACCTATCTTGTAATCTTGTGAAGAAACGCACACAAAATTTGATACAGCTACAGCTACGCATACATGAAATGTATATCCTATGTCATATTACTGAGAACTTTCATCTCAACGCGCATTGCTGGTTAGAAAGGCATGATGTGCCGCTAATATTTGTAATCGTTCGCATGATTGGGAAAATAATAATAATAATAATAATAATAATAATAATAATAATAATAATAATAATAATAATAATAATAATAATAATAATAATAATAATAATAATAATAATAATAATATTGTTAAACGTTTCATAATATTTAAAGTTTTGGATGTACCAAATTACACGTACAAGCAAGTTCAATAATCTCTCTCCCCCCCCCTTCGGAATAGTGTGTCATTAGAATATAAAAGCAAGAAAAGTCAATCTCTCTCTCTCTCTCTCTCTCTCTCTCTCTCTCTCTCTCTCTCTCTCTCTCTCTCTCTCTCTCTCTCTCTCTCTCTCTCTCTCTCTCTCTCTCTCTCCGGATTAGTGTGTCATTAGAATGTAAAAGCAAGAAAAGTCAATCTCTCTCTCCCTCTCTCTCTCTCTCTCTCTCTCTCTCTCTCTCTCTCTCTCTCTCTCTCTCTCTCTCTCTCTCTCTCTCTCTCTCTCTCTCTCTCTCTTCTTCGGAATAGTGTGTCATTAGAATGTAAAAGCAAGAAAAGTCATTTCACTCACTTTCTCTTTTGAATTGAGGCAACAATCTTGGACCCTGTAATTTTCCTTTATGAGCTTCAATTTCTTACAGCTTAGTGTCAAAAGATTTTTCATATAACCCTAAGATAGAGCGTAGAAAAAAAACAAACAATTAAACTGATTGATAGATACAGTGTAAATGAACAAAATTAAACCTAATAACAAGGCAGAATGAACAAAATTAAAATTAATGATACAAGGAAAATGAACAAAATTAAAGATAATAATGCAGGGAAAATGAACAAAATTAAAGCTTATGTTACAAGGCAAATGAACAAAATTAAATGTGTTGCTTGAGCCTTTGAATGTGATTGATTGGGTGTTGATAATAATGTTTGTGATTTGCTAAATCCGTCAGCTAATGATTAGCGTAGTTTGGAAAATTAAACGATTGCGATCACTAAATCGACAAATCGGATATACCGTTTGTAAAACTAAATATGATCTAAACAGGAACTATGCGATTTAACTTCAAAAGAACGATTTTGAAAAATTTCCAAGAAGAATATTACCACTTTTAGCAATATTTGAAGTCTTAGACCTTTTATTCAATTTGATTTTTTTAAAACAAATATCTTGTTAACGTGATGTTAGATATCATGTCGAGTGACTTTCTCGTTTGGATTTGATGCTAAAAGGCGACGCGAGACTACGTAGTTTTAAACGTTCTTGACATTACATTTTTATGATGGATGAGATAACTCTTCATACTTAAATGACAGAAGATTACCATATTTTAATGCAGAAATTTTCTGGAAGGCCGATGCCATATTCGTATTCGTCTCTGTTAATCACCTAGTCATTATTTCAATATACCGAAGTTTTGAAATGAATGCTTTTATACGCACCTATCTCAAAGTCCAAAATCTAGAGAAATTAGATCATTTGGATGATTCTGAAAAAATGAAAGTCCAAAAGAATGAAATGTTCCGTATAAATCTCATATTCACGAACAGAATGGTTCGCCAAAAGTCATTGTGTGTCAAAATCTCGTTGTCCATAACTCTTTTGAATAATTCACGATAATCCCAGAATTATGGTATAGTCCAATGAGCACTTCCTATTTCCACGGAATAATTCTAACAACGTGAATTAAAGACGTGAGGTGCAGGGCAACACGAGTGCTAACGTGTAGATTCAAAATAACACCTACCGACTCGACACCCACAGACTCGACACCCACACACTCGACACCCACACAGACTCGACACCCACAGACTCGGCATGCTTATAATGACAATCTACAGAAGTTAAATCATTTGGATAATAGCCATGTTTACAATTACGTAACTACGTGCTTATAATGTAGTCAAGGGATTGACGTTTCCAAGGTGCGGATGATATAATTTCTCTAGCTATTTTGAGACAAAAACTGTTTTATAGCTTCATGCATGATTGGAAATTTGGAGAATTAATCAAGAGTTTTTCCTACAATCATTCTAATTTGGAAGATATTAGGATCCAACTAGACAGACTTTCATTATTTACATTAGGAACACACAGTGTGAATAGAGCTAGACCGAATACGTCAATTTTCTTAATTCCAGAAGAGAAACATTATTTTTCTTTGCAGATCCTTTGTATTTGGAATAGAGGAAGTACCACATACCTATGTATTATTGGAGTAAATATCCATGTTCAAAGGTATCAGTTTGATATATATTCTAATACATATATTGTTTGTGAAAGGTAAGTATAATTTTATATGGACATTTTCAATTAAAATTAATGGAATACTTCATTTGTCTGCCAAAATTGATACATAATATAAAATAATTAATATACTATATCGGCAATTACAACAATAAAATGGAGTTATAATTAACAAGAAACTAGAATATTATTTTACCGCTTTTTCCCTATCTGATTATTGTCATGCTGCTTGAGAGCTGATGTATATGCTGTATTTGCATTGTCTATTTTAAGGGGGAAAAAAATAATATTTTATGTAAACTATCTCATCATATTGATAAATGGCACCTATATTGATGTATTACATATGGTTTTGAAAAAAAATCTGCTTAGGGTAATGTACTCGGGGACAGCATATTGTGATCATGGTCTACTACGGTTGTCTCCATGGTTTGGTGGTAGAGCACTAACCTTGTAAGCTAGGGTCTTGGATTCTAGACCAGGTGGAGATAAGATGGCCATGGTGAGGTGGCGGTATTGGTATAGTCTCGGTTTCAATAATTATTGATTGTGCTTCATTAAGCACTTGACGATTAGTTACATATATCCATGCACACTTATAAGGTTTTGGAGTATTTTCTGGAAAATGTTTAGCTTTCCCTACAGAATGGTATACATCGTCCTAGGTCAATGATAACACGCTCAAATGGGAGCGATTTACGATGGAAAGCAATTTATTTTTTGACAATGCTTTTGAACTAGCTACTCAGGTGCAAGTAACATGCAAAGTGTCAGAAAATTAAAAATAATTTATCTAAATAATATCTATCAAAATTGGCATTTTATATTTTCCTTTACTTGAGAGATGTTATAAGATCTGAATGTTGTGAATTTTTTAAAATACAAAATATTGATTGAAATTGTTATTGCATGCGTTATAATATAAACACTACAGACGTTCCATATTGTTTCCAACTTACGTGATGAGTCACAGTAACTAACGCTTTCTGCTGTCATCAGTTCGTTCTAAAGTCTGTTAAGCGGGGTTGGCAGATGTTACGTGCAACCGATACATCAGGTTTGCGTTGACAATTTACTGGCATGATTCCTCTTTATTGCAAAATGTTTTGACTGATGTCTTTACATGCACCAGGAAGTGTGTTCTTGCATAAGTCTAATGTGTGACGTATAACGATACATCCTCTTCGACTGATATCAATATGCATTGAGTTAATGTACTTTTCGTTATACATACATACATACATACATACATACATACATACATACATACATACATATATACATACATACATACATACATACATACATACATACATACATACATACATACATACATACATACATACATACATACATACATACATACATACATACATACATACGCACGCACGCACGCACGCACGCACGCACGCACACGCACACACACACATACATACATACATACATACATACATACATACATACATACATACATACATACATACATACATACATGCATGCATGCATGCATGCATGCATGCATGCATGCATGCATGCGTGCGTGCGTGCGTGCGTGCGTGCGTGCGTGCGTGCGTGCGTGCGTGCGTGCGTGCGTGCGTGCGTGCGTGCGTGCGTGCGTGCGTGCGTGCGTGCGTGCGTACGTACGTACGTACGTACGTACGTACGTACGTACATACATACATACATACATACATACATACATACATACATACATACATACATACATACATACATACATACATACATACATACATACATACATACATACATACATACATACATAGATAGATAGATAGATAGATAGATAGATAGATAGATAGATAGATAGATAGATAGATAGATAGATAGATAGATAGATAGATAGATAGATGTGTGTGTGAACTTCGTTATCAATCAATCAATGTTTATTGTCAACATGTTCCCTATTTATAATTCAGATAGACTAGAGATATTGTTGTTGAGATTTAAGGTTTGGAAGGTTGTAAGCAGATAGTCTATTTTAATGTGGAATAGTTTTTTCCTTTCTGTTGATATCTTGTGTTTTTTATTGTTGATTTAGCAAAATTTGGGACTGAAGACCTCTTTAAAGTCAAACAATGTAGCATTCTTGCTTAATCCTCTTCAATAAAAGAAACATTTAATTGAAAAGGATGGGATAAACTACTGTAAATATATTGAAGATTATTTTGAACAGTAAGTTATGTTTGTATATATATATATATATATATATATATATATATATATATATATATATATATATATATATATATATATATATATATATATATATATATATATATATATATATATATATATATAGTTCTTGAAGTTACAATGACTGCGGGTCACAAAATCACAATATTAGGATCTGTTCCGTCTCTTTTATATAAAAAGTGATATGAAGGCATGCAGAATTTTAATTAATAAAAGAAGAGTATAAATAAGAAAATAGACGCAAATTGATGAGTCTGTGGGGATTATGTTGAATCAACACGTTAACATTCGTGTAGCCCTGCACGAAGACACAAGCTGAGTTCGTTTTGGCCTGCACCAAGACATAAACAGAAGAGTATGTCTAATATGTTGAACCTACACTGTAGCACTCGTGTAGGCCTGCACCAAGACGCAAGTTGTCGAGTCTGTGGGTGTAATTTTGAATCTACACGTTAGCACTCGTGTTGGCCTGCACCTCACGTCTTTAATTCACGTTGTTAGAATTATGCCGTGGAAATAGGAAGTGCTCATTGGACTATACCATAATTCTGGGATTATCGTGAATTATTCAAAGGACTTCTCGACAACGAGATTTTGACACACGATGACTTTTGGTGGACCATTCTATTCGTGAATATGAAATTTATACGGAACATTTCATTTTTTTGGACTTTCATTTTTTTCAGAATTATTTTCGATTAAATGCATATTGCTGTAAGTTTCTTTTTTAATTTTTCATTTTATTACATTGATAATTAAATTGTTTGTTAAATTTTACAAAACTTGTCGGTTTTGTTTCTTTCTGTTACATTCTGGCCATATAGTCGTAGCAATAACTATTGGGGCTGCGATGACTCATTAGTAGATATCGTGCATGGGTCATGAGCAAAAAGTCTCAGATTTGCACCTCGCATTGACCAGACTGGATCACATGCTGCAGAACTCCTGAGACAAGAGATCAAAATTCGAATTCGTCTGGGCTTGCACGGCTCAGTTTGTTCTGTGTTCTTGGTCATGACTTTTCACTGCTGTCTGTGTTCTATAAAACAAAGGTCTCTAACGAATAAATTGAGTCAAAGTTTTATCGAAATTTGCTCTTAAACTTGACCTCCAGAACGGGTAAAAGCAACTGGAAAAAATACACACATTTCTCTCTCCTATAGTTCTTGTAAAATTCAAAACGTTCTTTTCATCGATGTAGTAAGGCAGATATTAGCACCATCGGCAAAGAATGGAGAAACAAAACTACAAATTGCATGTATTACCTTTAAAATATACAAAAACAAGAAAATCTACATCAGTGCCATCATTTTTTGGTGATGCGTGCTTAGTCGTGACGGTATATGGGTTGGTGCGTGCAGGCAAGGCGATAGGTGCCATTTACTCGCGGACCTGGGTTCGAAACTCGGTAGAGTACGAATTTAATTTCTCTAACCTGTATGATAGTATTGTTTGTAATAAACTATATATATATATATATATATACACATCATGAATTTTTAGAAGATGATATGGCAACACATAACTAAATGAATTTTGACCACAGTCAGTGTGACACGTAAAAATTAAAATGATGAATGAGCTTATGAGCCGTATTAAGTTGTAGGCTTCGGTGTCTAATGTCAATGGCTTGGTGCATGAGTGATTTTTCATTAGAAGCCATTCTGATAGCTCTTACGCACATGGACGCGGCAATGTGAGTTTGGAGTTTTAGCGTCTGAAAATGTCTGAATTGAGACCATGCAGAAAACAATATATGCCGTTTAAAACAGGTGTCACAAAACGAAAGTTTCCAGAAATTGTTATGAATAAAGACGGAATACAGGAATTTATCTTTGATGTGTGTATATTAATAACGGCGGTTAAATAAATTTAATCATGAATTCTTAGGCTAAATAAGGGTGTATATTCCCAGACGAAATTCAATGTGTTAAGCATTCTTCCTCGAAAAATTAGTCAGTCCAATTTTTTTTCTGTGGAAGGGGAAGGTATTGACTCGCAGATTAGTGGCAATTACTTTCTCGTTATAATTACCCACTGGAACCTTAAAGTTACAGAGAGAAATGCTACGATAGTAGCGAGCGAGTCCTGAAAACACGGGGTATTTGCCTCAATCATACAATTCGTACGTGATATGAGTTTGTGATATTAATTTGTAATTATTTGTTGAATTTGTTTTAAATTCATACATCGATCTTCCTGTGAGTTTGGAACATAACTGTTTGCATACACTCATCTTGGTTGTTGTATGAATTACTTCCTTACAAAGAATTTTTTGAGATAATTGTGTGAATTTATATGGCTTAAATATTGCAATTCAGATATGCTGAGAAATGAGTAGGAGGTTCACGCGGTGGATTTTTAGGTAGCAAGTATTGTGGTAAGACAAGAATTGAATTTTATCGATTCATTTGTATTATCTGAGAATAGATGGTATTAGCATTAAGAGCACCTGCCGACCAACATCTAGTCCAGTTAGTGATTTATAGTCCACGGCAGGGTGTAATAGTTTCTTAAGAGATCCAGACTATGCTGTAGTTTAATTAGTAATTCCGAGAAGCCCCTAGGTAGATACATTACGTTTGTACTAGAGTTTGTGTATCAGCTGTCAGGATGCGAACTAACCCGTGTTAACCTTAGTTTCTTTTGATTACAGTATGAGGATATCTGAAGTAACGAGAGGGAATAGTGTCTGACGTTAGAAAAAAAATCATGAGAAATATTTAGGTTGTCTATTAATTATTTTGAATACACTCATATATTGGGCAAAGGGTGTAGAGTGTAGACAACCAAATTATGATTGATGACCGAAATGAGGCTTGAGAAAGAGAGAAGAGGACAGGAATACGTAGACTCTAACCTGCCAATGAATTTGAATTAGGCAAGCAACTAGGTTATGTAGGCATACTGGGCAATTGAGATTGATAACGCTAACCAAAACTCCACCTAACATTTATTTAGTCTCCATACAAACTCAATCATTGAATTTTACATTCGAAATCAAGATAATATAGCACAGAATAAGGCATGGCGAGAGATTTCTAATTGGGTAAAATAAAATCAAAAGTCATAGTTAATGCTTGGTTCTCCTTATTATTCAAGCATTAAGATGAAAAATCACCATTAACCTGGACAATATCTGAGTGATAATAATATCGAATAACTCAACTGAGCAAAACAAAAATCCGTTTCAATTAATTTATTCATTGGTATTTCAAGATGATTATCATCTCTTGCTTTTCAATTATAGGGCTGATTACAACATAATTTGTTTTAC